CATATCCTTGAAATTATTTTTTTCAAAGATGGTCAATAAAATTACATTTATGTTTTATGTTTAAGCAATTTCGACTCCTACGACAATTTTATCCATAGAAGATAATATTATTGTTATTAGTATAAGTGAACGCACTACTCACCAGTTCTAACCCACTGTGTCCAACGTAACGCTCCCGTGATATGATTGGATGTAGGCAAATACAGTTTTTTAAAGGAGTATCAGATAAAGGTTTATTGCAATTATGCCTGTGCAGATGCAATACAACCTTTTATTTTAAGTGCATTTTTTATAGGATAAGGGTGACAAACGAGCACACAATCCACCTGACGGTAAGTGGTTGCTGTGGCCCATAGACATCGACATCAAACAAAATGCAGATGTGTTGTCACCCGTGAGGACTAAGATGGAATGCCTTATTTCTAGTAAAAGGGTCTCCCGTTCTCTACACTCACCATACGAAACACACCAGCATTAAGCTGCTATTTTACGCTGGTATTCTGTGAGAGCGTGGTCCTTCCGCGGTCGAGCCGACCCATTCGTGCTACAACTATACTACTAATATAGCTGCAGCATGGCTCTATCACGTAGTAAAATTGCATTGCATTCCTGGACATAGGCTGTTCCAAGAATGTAGAGATATGCTTGCATATATTAAAAGCGTTGCCCAGTTGCCCTACTAATACTAACTGCGCTTAGCAGGCGTATTAGTAGCGTAGATTCGGTATTATCTTCGTATTGATAATATTCATCCCCATCAATTCTCTGTATAATTTAAGGTTTGTGATTCTTTTGGTGGTTTTTCCGTCATTACCCAGGTCTCCGAGCCTCGTTCGACAATAAACCCTTGACGGGTAAGATTTTATATGTTCGCATTTACACCATGACAATTAAAGCTAACCCCGGCTGGTATTTCAATCTAAGATCCGCGTCGTAATTGGAATAGAATGACTCTGACTAATAGGCCGTGCGATCGTCAACACTTAAATATGTATAGAAATTAAAAAAAAATCGAAGCCGTAAGAATTAAAAACTAAAAGACACTTATTAGCCCTATCTTTTTCTTACTTTAGCCTATAGGATATAGTAGTTTCAAATTAGTAAATGGTTAAGGTTCAATCATGTAAACTCAATAGACACGTCCGTTAATGCCGAGTTATAAGAGTGTTAATATTTTTAAAATTTTCTTGACCTTGTTTTAATTAGAATCACTCTTTCAACTCGTTAGAATTTTCAATAGTAAAGAAATCAAATAAATTATATCAATAGTAAAAAACAAAAAACATCTGAAAATCGCAGTCAGAAGGACAACATGCAAGAATTATCGTAATATCTGTGCAGTTTCTTCTTCTTATTAAAAAAAAAATACTTTCTACGAAATTTAAAAAGTAGTATGCAAATAATAATGTAGCACAATATAGTCACATAAAGGCTATTACTTAACAAAACAAATTTTAAAACAAGTATATATGTTGGGTTATATATAATCAAGATGAAAAGCTAGACTTAACTTTTGTATGCAGGTTGCATACCTACACGAGAGTATTCTCGTATCGGCTTACACCATTTCACCTACACAAATCCTTTCAAAATTTTAGGTTGCAGCTCGCGTTTTAGCACGACCTCTTATATAAAGAACCGTTTAATTTTAAGCTGGCAAGCATTCCTTTTCTTTGCTATAATTCTCTTTGACTTTGGTTGGTAAAATTAGATGTAAACCGCTTAGTTAAAACTTGCATTGAAATCATTGACGCAGAACACTGACAATTAATCTATTCAAATAAATAAAATCGAAGTGTCTGTTTGTTATGTTAAAATAACAGTTTTTTTACTAAATATATATGAAAGTATAGGCGGTACTTATAACGAAAAAACAATTTTTAATTTTTTTTTTTAGAATATGGATAACAAACGAGCACACAGTCCACCTGATGGTAAGTAGATACTGTGGCCCATAGACATCTACATTTATCCTCGATTAAGAATCAAAATACAGATGCGTTGTCACCCGTAAGGACTAAGATGGAATGCCTCATTTCCAGTAAAAAGGGTCTCCGGTTCTCTACACTCACCATACGAAACACAGCAGCATTAAGCTGCTATTTTACGCTGGTATTCTGTGAGAGCGTGGTTCTATCCCGGTCGAGCCGACCCATTCGTGCTACAACCTTAATATAGCTGCAGCGTGGCTCTACCACGTTCAAATTTTTTGTCTGTCTGTTTGTTCAGGCTAATTTCCGAAATGTCTGAAACAATTTTGACAAGACTTTCACTGGCAGATAGCTAATGTTATAAGGAGTAATTTAGACTACTTTTATTTTAGATAAAGAATTAGCCTTCCGCGAAAAATATTAAAACCCATGAAATTCAATCGTAAGAAATTTCACGTGGATGAAGTCGTGAGGAACAGCATGTAATTTTAATTTTAAATATTCTGGCGGGCTATTCACCATAGTCATCGACTCGTTTCACAAAGCTATATATATGCTGCTTTGTGAAACGAGACATATCTCAGTTTTTTTGTTATTTATTATATAGTTAAATTATATATTTTTTATATTCGATATCATTGGCTAACTCCAAAATATTGCATTATGTTTTTGTTCAGGCGTTACTCTAAAAAATACAAAAGCCTATTTATCTACAAAATTCGTAAATGCATGTAACTAAATGACGATACAATAGTTATGGGATGTATCTAAGTGACCTTTATCCGAACGTTAAATGTGAATAGCGTTTATTGGTTTCGGTGCGAGAAGTTATCGAATCCGAGTCGATTTCGCTTTCCGAGACGATTGTGAATAGCCCGGCTGTAGTCATTAAAGTACCTATCACTTTTGTTTAAGTTAATAAACATACAAATAAGTATCTAATACTATGGAACGATTTCTTTACTCATGTGCTAATACTTAATTTTTTTAAACTTATTATTACGAGCGCTAGACTACAATCCCACCTAGTGGTGAGTGACGATGGAGCTCTAGATGGTAAATCACACTATCTTAGCGTAACAAAAGCCTTTTTTATAGGATAGGGTGACAAACGAGCACGCAGTCCACCTAATGGTAAATGGTTGCTATGGCCCATAGACATCTACATCTATCCTCGCATGCGAATCAAAATGCAGATGCGTTGTCACTCGTGAGGACTAAGATGGAATGCCTCTTTTCCAGTAAAAAGGATGTCCGGTTCTCTACACTCACCATACGAAACACAGCAGTGTCAAGCTGCCATTTGACGCTGGTATTCTCTGAGAGCGTGGTCCTTCCCCGGTCGAGTCGACCCATTCGTGCTACAACTATAGTACTAATATAGCTGCAGCATACCACGTATAAAACGTCGTTTCATTCTTGCATTGAAGACGTCCTGATTGGAATCGAATACAAAGCATTATATATTAATATATTGAAGTATTGAGAAAATTAAACGATGTGCAATGCAAATATACGTAACAAAAGCCTATTCACTCTTGCCTTGAAGACGCCTTGATCGTATTCTAACTGAAGCAATATATATTATTATATTGAAGTATTAATAAAAGTAAATTTAATATTCCTGCCTTATAAAGCCATATAAAAAAAGGTTCTCGAGTAAAAAAGTTCTCGAGTGGCGACCTCGTACCGGTAGGCGAAATGTAGGGTGACCCCCCACTAGATGGAGTGACGACCTGGTGAGACATGCAGGAAGTAGATGGATGCAGGTGGCTCAGGACCGTACTTTGTGGCATTCCTTGGGGGAGGCCTATGTTCAGCAGTGGACTTGTGAAGGGCTGTGATGATGATGATGAAAGCTATTTATAGAACTATTTATAGAAATTTGAACTAGGCATATTTTTACGTGCTAGTGCCACGCTACAGCAATATTATGATTGTAGCATGAATGGGTCAGCTCGACCGACGAAGGACCACGCTCTTACAGAATACCAGCATAAAATAGCAGCTTAATACTGCTTTGTTTCGTATGGTGAATGTAGAGATCCGAAGACCCTTATTAATGGGAATAAAGCATTCTATCTTAGTACTCAAGGTTTACAAAGCATTAGCATTTTCATACTAAAATGAAGATAGATCTAGATTTCACAACATCTACTTACCATCAGGTAGATTGTGTGCTCGTTTGTCACCAATTACAAATAATATAAATATTTTCATGCAAAGGATCACCCCATTTAGACCCCTTGGTGTCGTAAAAAGCGACTCAGGCAAATAAAAGACTTCATTGACACGGATAGACATAAATCATTTCGAAGCCTGATGTAACATCCTCCTCGATACCCAAGCGGATATCTCAGTAGCCAATAAAGAAAACTCTATATTGCTTTGTACCGACGTTGATGACCATGGTATGTGACAACAAAATATAATATAGTTCACAAAGCAAAACAGGATATTATACTATGTATTATGCAACAAATTTTCCCACTATCTTATATCTTATTGTTATACACAAAATGTTAACATAAAAAAATAAAATTAAAAAATAAAATGATTTATTTTTTAACTTAAATCAATTAGATAGTTGATTGGGGTCTCCATTTAAGCAAGTAATGCTTGTGTTTGGAAACCCCGTTCTTCCTTAATTCTTAATTCTAAAAATATTTAACTTAACTTAAAATATTTAACATTTTTAATTTATACAAATAAATAAGATTGAAATGTCTGTTTGTAATATCAAATTAACAGCGTTTTACTAAATGCAAATGAAAGTATACACGGTACTTATTAGAAAAAAATATCATTTTATGTCTGTTTGTTCCGTCTAATCTTCGAAATGGCTTAACCGATTCTGACAGGACTTTCACTGGCAGATAGCTGATATAAGGAGTAACTTAACCTACTTTTATTTTAGAAAAAGAGTTAGGTTTACGCGCAAAAAAATTAAAACCCATAAAATCCAAACCTAATAAATTCCACGCGGACGATTTGCGGGGAACAGCTAGTCTAAAATAAGGAAACAACGGCACATGAACGCGTATTTATTGTAAAGTTCACATTACTCACCAACTATACTGCGCACGAAGCTCATTCGCGAGCTCTTCTGAGCAACCATATGGGAGTACTTCGAGCCTCCCTCAGCCCAACCACCCACAGCCACCATGAACTTGACGCCAGGGTGGGAGGAGCGGAGCGATGTGAAGTTCTTGAATCCGTTCTTGTCTACGTCTAACTGCGGGATTAGTTTTTTTTAAGTAAACACGAAGCGATATGGATTAAGTTGGCTTTGCCCTACCTATATAGTATATTATCTATGGTTGGCTTTGTGAGATTATGAATGAATTTGAAGCTAGTTTATAGAGTTAGTGTGGTTGTATTTATAGTTAATTGCACTCTATATAATGCATATTTTATACAGGCTGCTCTGTTAAGTATAAATATGAAGATTCTACATTTCTTGATATTATAAATTGAAAATAAAGCATGGACTCACTAGTTTGTATTATATTTGCAATAGTTCAATTCGAAAGTTTTCTACAATTCTTATTTCATATTGTATAAACTCAATGTAAAAATAAACTATCTGATTAAATCAAACAATAGTAAACAAGCGGTAAAATTAATAATTTTGTACAACCGACTTCAATATAAATAAAATGAGAACATCATCAATGTAGTCGATGTCAGGATGACTCAAAAACTACTGTTTATATATTGGTTTCAAATTTATATGGGCCCACATGAAAAGCACCAGCTTTCAAATAACAAAAGAATTATCAAAATTGGTTCACGTAGACAAAAGTTCTGAGGTAACACATAAAAAAATACATGCGAATTGAGAACCTCCTATTTTTTTGAAGTCAGTTAAAGACATTAGGTCCCAAAACCGATAGTATAACTACGTAAATAATATAATAGTATGAGTGACGAAGATGATGATGATGGTGATATATGGGATAATAATACTAGAAAATTATGTAACATTTCTGAGGCACAAACCGTTACGTCTTACATAATTTAAAATTATCCTACTGTATTTGTCGTTCTTGTCTACAAACAACTAACCAGTAAAAATTTTAGTAGTCAAATACTTTTGAGTTAGTAGTGTCTTATTTATATGGTAATGGAGAACTTATAGAATTTAATGACGCTCGCATTGTGTTTTGTCTTGGTCTAGTCTTGTCATTCTACAGTATTTTTTTATGATACGCATCAAAGATTCGAGAGAAGAGCACTTATAAAAATGAAAGCTTTTTTCTTCATTAAAATACGTACTATAGATTAAAGGCGAATATATATTCATACATAACAACGTCATTAATATTAATTCTTAGTAATTGCAAGAATACCTGAGAGCCTGAGTGAGACCAATACAATTCAAATAACGAATAAATATTTTTTACAATAATTTGAAGGAAAGAGAGAGTATTTTTCAAAATTAATTGTTTTTTATATTGAGTTAAGGTCTCAGAAAGTTTACCATTAGGAAGCAAATTTGTATTCGATGCAAACACTATCAAATATTAAAATAATAATAATTGTTTGATATCATTATTGGATCAGGATTGGATAAAGGCATTTTTATATTTACCTCTGGATCAATGACCAAAACTTCGTTTGTTTTTTCAGTGACTCCGATAAATGAATATATAATGTGTGTACATTTCTCCACGGGGATGTCCTCAATGCCATAGCGACCCACACCAGGCCGGTACACGGCCCAGTTACTGAAGTAGCATACTATACGCGCTCTGCCGTCCGCTGGGAAGAGTAAACCGTAACGTAATATTATTACTTTAGGAACTATAATAGTAAAAACTTTGACGCTTTCTTAAGATTCGTTCACTAAAATTATTCTAACAATTTTATCGCCTTCTATAAACAGCGATTGCAGATTGTGAAATTTTCTAACTAAGATGGAATGCCTCTTTGCCAGTAAAAGGGGTCTCCGGTTCTCTACACTCACCATACGAAACAAAACAGCGTTAAGCTGCTATTTTACGCTGGTTTTCTGTGAGAGCGTGGTCCTTCCCCGGTTGAGATGACCCATTCGTGCTACAACTATACTACTAATATAGCTGCAGCAAGGCTCTACCACGTAAAACAAACCACCAAACTTTCAAACGATAACATGGTGCTATGTATGCATCTATGCTTTCCATCTTGTCCTTAGAGGTGACCACGCATCTTTAACTTCTTTGAAGTTGAACCGTGTTGTTTATGGACTGCAGTAGCTACTTACTATTAGGTGTACTGGATATTTGTTTGTCAACCCAAAGCTATAAAAAATATCTAGGATTTTCTATCTACATGATAGAAATTTTCTGGGCATCGATTAATACATTATTTTTGTTTTTTTTTGACGTGACAACGTCTTATAATTCGATGAAGCACGCACTGCACGCACGAAAAAACATGACTCATGCGGCGTTACCTCGCTCTGAGGCGTTTGGCTTGAAGTGCAAGCGAGAGCGCGGAACGAGCGACAAAGAGGCACAATCGGCGTTGTCACGTTCAATTCTACTATCGTCAGTAAACCGACTTTACAGACAACCGATTTTATTTTTTAAATACTAGTAATCCTATTAAACATTACTAATATTCCCTTAAACCACTCCTGGTAAGCTTAAAATGTTTGTGTTAGAAGTGGTTCACGACCGTAGTCGAATGGCGGATCCGAACCCACGACCTTTCAAGTTTGCAGTCCGCGCTCTGCCATTAGGCTACTGTCGCTTATCCTATACATATCATGATGAACCAAAGGTTTATTGTCATCAATCATTACATAATTTAGATTTTTCTAAAACGAAAACACTCCATCTCTTTTGAGTTATTTACAATTTTCTAACTCTGCGTACATCTCTGCAATGTAAAATACAACTCAAAATTTATCATAAATGTTACTTTAAAAAGTGTATACTAAAGTAACTATCTTTTGTTACTGTATATCAAATAACTTCAAATAACAAATAAAAGATTCTAAATAAGTAAAAATTGTATATTTTTTGAATTTACGACATCAAGTTCGAGTAGGTAATAAATCTCAGAGCCCTGAATTTATCACAACTCATCCCATGTGTGTTGATAACATCCATTGAGTTATATTCTATATTATATTTTCTATAAACCTTCATTAAGTTTAGGGACCTTTGAAAACTAAAAAAAATATATAAATAAAAACCTTTTAAAGAAATTTTACGCCGTGTGATGGCGGTTTAAGAAAATTCACGAGCCTGTACTTCGTAGAGTTATGCTGCAGCTACATTATGGTTGTAGCGCGGATAAGTCGGCTCGACCGGGGAAGGAATACGCACTAACAAAATACCAGAGTAAAACAGCATCTCAATGCTGCTGTATTTCGTATGGTGAGGTTACGTTTACTGGATACGAGGCATTCCATCTTATCTCTTCAGGGGTTACAACACAACTGCATATTGATTCTTAATCGAAGATAAATGGAGATGGCAGTATCCACTTACTATCAGGTGAACTGTGTGCTCGTTGACCATTATTTAAAAAAAATGGGCGTCTTAAGAGGCAAATATTGTAAGATTCCATCCTCATCGTAGGATTTACGCGGAATTTTTTGTCTCGCAAGACCACTGATATTTACTGTCGCCAGCGGTTTTTCCGGACCAATTCACTTAGGGACCATTTTTTTACTGTTCTAAGCCAATGCTTGATTACTTGAAGACCTTCAAGGAAATGCCTACTCCTACCTAAAATATTGGCAAAATACTTACAATTCACGAACCCTGGTATTGCATATATTCATGGGTGACGATATCACTCACCATCAGCTGAATTGTATGCTCGTTAGCCACCTCGTCCATAAAAAATGCCAAAATTATCTCAAGGCTTTCGGAAGATGACGATATGACGAAAAATAACGATACGAGGTGAAAAAAGATAACCACAGCTACAATTTGTCATCAAGTAAAAATTTCTTTGACTTCTTTGCCAGCCTTCTTTATCAGCCCGAGGAAATCTACTGCACTGGACATAAGCCTCTCGTATGGTAGAAAGAAAATGCCATAATCGCTTGCTTGTCAGGTGGATTTGCAATCTAGACTAGATCGTGCCTTATTTATTTAGTTTATATTCCCCTATTCATATGTGCTTCATTATTGAAAATCTAAATGTTAAATCGACCAGGTTTTAAGTCACTATTTAAAAAAAAAATTATGTCATTTATTAATGATCTATACCTTTTCACGATGATGGTCAACTACTTAATTGTATATAATTTATAGCCATGCGTTTCAACCAAGGATGACCTATAAAACATCTTTGGTTTCAACGTTTCGTAATCCTAATTAGACCGGGTTCCTGCCTTGGGCTAAAATTCCATTAATAATGCTACATCTACATTAGTAAATCGGTTTAATGTAAACAATTTGCATTTTTAAATGGTACTAAAACTAAATGTATGTAATTCGTGATACTAATTTAAATAATATAAATTACTTACATGCCTTCGCTGTAGTTGCGACAGTCAGGACGACCAACGTCGCTAGTATCGCACGCATTTTAACCTGAAAGTATTATTTAAACTTGTTATTTTTTTATTAGGGTGACAAATTAGCTAATATTTCATCTGATGGTCAATAACTACTGCTGTACTAAAACCAAATTTAAACATAGAAATCGACAGATGCGTTATCATAACTGAGAACTAACGTCAAATGTCGCTGAACCTGTATTTTTACTGGCTCTCAAACTGTTCGAACCGGGACAGAAATAGTCAAGAACATGGTACCAGATCGCCTTCCAGAGCAAGACTCCCTGCCACAAAGTATATACACAATTGTATGCAATGACTTTTCACGTTCATCGATATTTGTAAACATTCCATCTGCTGAACACAGGCCTCCCCATAGATTGCTTTATTTTTATTTTAAATATTTTCGCCATAGTTGGTAGGCGGTTCGGAAACCGCAGTGTTTTAAAATTTTGAGTAGTTATCAGAAAGATGCTGTTGTCCATTTTTTTTTATAGGATAGGGGGCAAACGAGCATGCGGCTCACCTGATGGTAAGTGACTACCGCCGCCCATGAACAACTGCAACACCAGAGAGGGAATTGCAGTTGCGTTGCCGGCCTTTTAAAAAGGAGTACGCTCTTTTCTTGAAGATCCCTAAGTCGTATCGGTCCGGAAAAATCGCTGATGGTAATCGACTCCATAAAGAAGTCGTGCGAGGAAGAAAACATCTTCTAAATCGCACAGTGGTGGACCGCCAATCATCCAGATGGTGTGGATGGTATCGGGAGTTCTGCCGCGATGTGCGTTCGTGAAATTTGGCGGCTGGGATTAATCCGAACAATTCCTCAGAGCACTCCCCATGGTAGATGCGAAAGAAAAGGCAAAGGGATGCAACATCTCTTCGCAGTGCCAATTAATCGAGCCGATCGGAAAGGGCTCGGTCGTCGACGATTCGAGCCGCTCTGCGCTGGATGCGGTCAAGTGGAAGGAGCTGGCACTGGGGAGCCCCAGCCCAGAGATGGGAACAGTATTCCATATGAGGCCGAACCTGCGCCTTGTAAAGTTGCAGGCGGTGTGCCGGCATGAAATACTGTCCCGCTCTGCTGAGCACGCCAAGCTTTTTAGAGGCCAATTTGGCCTTCTCTTCCAAGTGACCACGATATTGCACGTCACTCGATATGTCGACTCCGAGGATACCGATACTGGCTGAGGCAAGAAGAGGAGTGCCTTGAAACTGAGGAGATACGACAAAGGGGTTCTTTTTAGCGGTAAACGCGCAAACTTGTGTCTTCTGCGGATTCAACTGGACTAGATTTAGTCGCCCCCAATCCGAGACTTTGTTCAGCAAAGACTCGACTTCAGACACAAGTTTGTTCCGGTACTCGGCGACGTTTTCCCGAGAAATATTGGCACGGCCGGTGTATAATAGAGCATCACCAGTGCTGTCATCCGCATAGCAATGAATGTTACCAGTTAGGAACATATCATTGATATGCAGAAGAAACAGCGTTGGTGATAGCACACAGCCTTGTGGAACACCAGCGTTAATAGGCTTGTAGTCAGAACATGCACCGTCTACAACAACCTTATGACACCTCCATCTTAAGACACCCATGGGGCGATAGAATAGAATAGAATAGAATTTTTTTTTAATTCAAAATAGATTACATGTGTAATTCTTATTGAAAGTCATTTTTTACTTTAACTGGTTGGAAAAAAACCTTTGTCCTGGAAAGAACCAGCAAGAAACCCAGCGAGACTTTTTTTAAAAAGCATATTTTACATTAATGGTTGTACAAACTATATAAGTACAAAATTTATTTTAGAAACAGCTTGGAAGCGACCACCTAATTCACAGGGTTATTATCAACCATGTATTCATTTATAGTATAATAACCCTTTCTATGCAGTTTCAACTTAAAACATTTAAACTTGGTAATAGAGATATGGGATAGCCATTACTCGGTTTGTAAATATTCCCTAAAACCTAAATAAAAGCAAGCAAGAAAACGTTTAATTCGTATGCTAAAAAAAGCTTTTACATGATTTATGTGCTCAAGTCGAAAATAATCCTTACGAACGAAGCTAAAAAGTTTTTCTTGCGTAGCAGCTAATTAGAGATAAGATGGGTAACATAATATAATAACGCCTAGCGATGCTCAACAAGTTATAACGGCACAAACATAACGGGCCCGTTGCTCGAGTTGTCGTTCTGACACTCACCCATTGACCTGGTATCCTAATGTCTAACATGACACCAATTCATTGAGATACAACTTGAAAATATTGAGTTCGTTGATAAATTTAAAAAGAACTTAGTTTAGGATATTTAAGAACTAATAATAAATTTTGTTTATTAAGTTCCTTATTTGCTGAAACAGACTTTCAAGTAATTTTCATTTCTTTATTGATTGTGTCTGTCAAAAGTCCACTACTAAACATAGTCCTTTTTTCATAGATTACATCATAAAGAAGGATTTGCCAATAATTGCCAGGCTTGGCAGGTGGGTTGATAACCGCAGTTTTTTTATGAATATTCCTTTCTTGTCAGAAAAATGCTATGCTCGCCCCTTACATCTACGTAATGACATGGATTAAGAGTAAAGTAAAGTTGCAGCCTATTTACGTCCCACTGCTGGGCACAGGCCTCCTCTCATTTCTGAGAGGCTTTTAGGGCAAGGAAATGTCCGCCGCGCTGCCCCAATGCGTGTTGACGAACTTCACATATCTTCGAAATATTTTTTTCTTATTTCTCAGACATGCAGGTTTCCTCACGATGTTTTCCTTCACCGCCGAGCACGTGGTAAATCAGCACTTAAAATTGTAATTAACAATTACATTGGTGCCGGCGGGGATCGAACCCGGCTTGCTCGAGTACTGTGAAGCTTACAGCGAGCGCTAGAAATCAGAGCTAAGAGATTCAATAATAATTATTATTAAATAACAATATTTTATATACGATTTGCTAAGTTTCAACGGTGTAAGAATATCCACTACCCCATATCGTCCCGTGGGTGTCGTAAGAGACGACTAACTGACTGACGACTAACTGAAACAGGACATGGGCAGCAGCATCTTCCTGATAACCACTCAAAATAATAAAAAAACTGCGGTTCACAACACACTAAGTGTTAACTAGGGCAAAATTTCCCCATCATGCAATCTATAAGGAATGCCTGTGTTCAGCAGTGGACTTTTATAGGCTGTAATAGATGGATAGGTAATGGAACTTTCTTTTCGTTGTATAATAGTATTTACTTTTATGCCGACTTCCAAAAAGGAGACGGTACTCAATTCGACTGTATGTTTTTTTTTTATGTGTGTTACTTCATAACTTTATACTGGGTGAACCGATTTGAATGATTCTTTTTTTATTTGAAAGCTTGAATTTGGTACTTCTCTTGTGGTCCCATATGAATTTGATCAAGGTCAGATCAATAGTTTTTGAGTTATTCTTAATAACTCATATTGAAGTCGGCTGTACAAAATTTTTAATTTTAAATTATATTATAAAATTAACATACTAAAAACGTTTTTGATTACGTTTATTTTACATATTTCTATGATTTGTTATAAAAATTAATTTTTGTGTATGTATGGCAAGCTTTTGTACAAACATTTTTAAGTATAAATTATTGTAATCAAAATTGTTTTTTTTTTATTTCTTAAACACTATAAGACAAAGGAAAAATAGTTACAGGGTTAAGTATAAAGTGCGAACAGAATAAACGGACATACAAGACTCATCAGACATTCGTGATTCATTCCACTTCGTGTAGGTACGAGTACGACAGCCTTTGTCATGTTACCACAAAACCTTTTATTTAAATAGACTCACATATACTTTACAATATTTGCACTGCTTTCTCATCTTTAACTGTTCAATTAATGAATGGAACCGTGTTACCAACGTAGCTTATTGGATTATCTGAATATATTATTGAATTTATCTGTGTTTCCTCAAGTGGTCAACCGTATCACAGAAATTTTACAAACACTGTCACCGGTGAAAACAAATAAAACAATATTTCGTAGTGAAATATATGTTTACGATCCGCCCCGGCACATACAGTAATTTACACAGATATTTTCTTGATCTTGACAACAGTGCCACCTACCGGGTGCAATTGTGAATCTAAACCATCTACGGACCTCAAACGCATACAAAAAATTTCATCGAAATCGTTCGTCGTTTTCGAGTTTGAGCGAGACTAACGGACAGCAATTGGTTGATTATACACATCAATAAAAAGATATATATTATTCATTTATGACACAAACACATATTTGTATAGTTGCATAAATGACCAGCCGCTAAATAAATAATAAACAGTCAAGTGTGAGGTGGGCCTCGCCCTATTAAAGTGTGTATTAACAACTTTTCAGGGTTCCGTACCTGAAGGGTAACCAACGGGACCCTATTACTAATATTACTAAGCCTCCCCTGTGCGTCCGTCCGTCCATCCCTCCCTCTGTCTCTCAGCGGGCGGCATCTCATGATCCGTAATAGGTAGACAGTTGAAATTTAATAAAAGAATATTAAAAATTAAAGGGGGCTCCCCTACTAGAAACGTGTTTTGCAATGGTACGGAACCCTTCCTGCGCGAGTCCGACTCGCACTTGGCCGATTTTATTTTTAAACTACTCTAATTAATTAAGTAATGGTTTTTTCTTTCTTCGTTCTTAGAACAGCTTGCAAATACTACAAACAACGAAAAATAATTCAATTGAATTACAGATTGGCTTTGCTTTTTGATATTCATATAATTCTAATGAAGAATTTTATAGTATGAAAATTATTTATTAGTTCCAAGATTTTACTAACCCAAAGGCGAAATGCATTATTTATTTTTGGTATATCTCACATTCATTTAAAGTCGCACAGCTATTTTTAAATGACACAAAACAAGCTCTTGTAATATTTTATTGTATTTATTATTCGGAACACCAGCAGCTTAGACACATTCCCCTTATTATAAAATTTAAAATCTACTTAGCTATTAAAAAGTATTCGCCAATGGAAAGTAGATATAGTTTAGTTTCTATC